TTTTTTTTTTTTAGACAAAGTCTTACTCTGTTGCTCTTGGTAGAGTGCTGTGGCATCACAGCTCATAGCAACCTCAAACTCCTGGACTTAAGCAATTCTCTTGCCTCAGACTCCCGAGGAGCTGGGACTATAGGTGCCCGCCACAACGCCTGACTATTTTTTGTTGCAGTTGCCACTGCTGTTTTAGCTGGCCAGAGTCAAGTTGGAACCCTCCACCCTCAGTATATGGGGCCAGCACTCTACCCAACTGAGCCACAGGTGCCACCCTCAATAAAACTTTTGAGCCACTTATCACTTTCTATATTTCTGAAAAGAAATCGACTCTAATAGGGCCTTCAGATTTCTTTCTATTGTGTAAGAACAGAACATAGTTTTACTCTGAGTACTGTATAAAAGTTGTGCTTAGGGAAGAGCAAACATCTCAACTACTTTCTTTCTAATATTGTCACAAATAGGGAAGCTTCATTTACCTAAGTATATCCTGTGTATTTTAGATTCATAAATTCAGAAAAAAGGAAAACTCAAAGAGTGAAAAGAGAACCATGAGAAGGAAAATGATTAAAGGGTTAGGCAACTGAAATCACGAAAAACCAGAATTGGTTTCCTGGAAGAAGGATTGGCGAGACCTAATAATGGTGCTCGACATGTATGGATGTTTTAGCATAAAAGAAAATAACAGGTCATTTAAAATTCCTATTGAGGATCAGTTGAATTTAAAATGTAAAAGTAAGAAATAGATTTAAACCGAAATAGAAACTAGGTCTATAAAGAACTTGCTAACAGTGGGAATCATTCATAGGAAAACGAAAAATCTATTTGGTGGGCTCAAAGCTCAGGTGAACTGAAAATAAAGATGGGGTGTGACTTAAGAAATACTTTAAAAGCCTTTCCTTTCAGGAGAATTTTGACTAGTCCACTAGTTTTAAATATCTGGTAAAGAGATCCTTGTCAAACAGCTTCCATTTCCTCCTGACCTGAAAAGTCAGTGTGGGGCATCTGTTGTGACTTGGTCACTAACGTAGGAGGCAGGCCGAGGGAATTCAGATATGTCTTGGCTGCGCTGGCATCATTCTTTCATGTTAAGCATGGCTGAAGATTGACCCCGTCTTACTGATACCTGGGAAGCCCTGGAAAAGAGCAGTCTCCATGTGTAGGCCTCTTTTCTTGGTCCCAGGGGCTGGGATAATTTGGGATGACCTTCTGCACAGGGTGCAGCCCTCTCACGCTGGCTCCAGGTAGGGGCTGCCCAGGTAGCGCTGGCTGGATCACTTGCTGGTAGGCTGCTCGAGGGTAGTCGTGGCCATCTGTAGGCAAAGACCACAAAGAGAACAGGGAAGCTCAACCCCTTCGTGTGAAAGAAATAATCTCAGTGCAAATTCTTGTCTTAATACCAACCAAAGGGTCCAGGTACCACCTCTGTGATGTTTGCCATATTTCTGTACTGTTGCTTGCTTGATAGTCCCCATGAAATTGATTCACCTTTTTTTCTAAATAAAAACATCTGTGATATCACAAGTTTGGGGTTCTAATTGGAAAGTTCAAAGAACATTTTAAAAAACTCCTCCCAGGCTCCTATTGTAATAAGATACTTGGAGAATCCAACCGGGAAGACCCTCTCTCACGCCATCATTCTTACCATAATTTCCCAAGTGTCTGGAACCCAGGCTAGAACCACTATACTCTCCTTTCCTTTCCCGGGTGGACACACATGCATACCACTCCCTCTTAGGAAGAAGAAAATGAATGAAAATTTGGTTTATCCTTCTGAGAAGCAGCCAACCAATTGGCAGTACCTTGCAACCTCCTTGATCCTCTCCCACTAAAGTCTATGTGCACTTAAGCCCACACCAGTTTGAAAAAGGCAGGGGGATCGCACCTGTAATCCTAGCACTCTTGGAGGCAAAAGCAGGAGGATCATTTGAGCTCAGGAGTTTGAGACCTGCCTGAGCAAGAACAAAATCCCATCTCTACTAAAATTGAAAAATTAGCCAGGCATTGTGGAGGGTGTCTGTAGTCCCAGTTACTTGAGAAGCTGAGGCAGGAGGATCACTTGAACCCAGGAATTTGAAGTTGTTGTGAGCATAGCACTCTAGCCTGGGTGACAGAGTGAGACTCTATCTCAGAAAAAAAGAGAGAAAAGAAAAGGGTAGGGCTCAGAGCTGGTGATTTTGTGACTGTACAACCTGGGAGAGAGTTGGTCCCAGCCAGGCCCAGAAGCAATAAGGTCCCCAGGGAAGGACAGCTTGTCTGGCCCAGTGAGAGAATAGAATTGAAGGCCAGAGGGCAGGTGCAGGGTGAGAGAGGAGGTCTGTGAGGGATGGCCTAGACCCAAAGGGTTTGAAGTGTTGGGATATCTAGAGAGAGCCAAGTGAGTAGCCTTGCAAAGTGAACCGGGAGCCCCTCCCTGAGATCCAAGCACTGCCACCTCCGCCCAGTGAAGAAGTAGGATAATCCAGGGGGCATAACTAATCAGGATAAGAAGGAACCTGTTTTTTTCAAAAATAAAAACACATATTGTTCTTAATATTTTTTTCTTTTTCTTTTCTTTTTTTTTTTTTTGAGGCAGAGCCTCAAGCTGTCGCCCTGGGTAGAGTGCTGTGGCATCACAGATCACAGTAACTTCCAACTCCTGGGCTCAAGTGATTCTCCTGCCTCTGCCTCCCAAGTAACTGAGACTACAGGCACCCACCACAATGCCTGGCTATTTTTTGTTGCAGCCATCATTGTTTTTGGCAGGCCCAGGCTGGATTTGAACCCACCAGCTCAGGTGTATGTGGCTGGCGCTTTAGCCCCTTGAGCCACAGGGGCCGAGCCAATTCTTTTTTCTTATTACAAAAATAATATCATGGCTGGCGCAGTGGCTCATGCCTATAATCCTAGCACTTTAGGAGGCTGAGGCAGGTGGATTGCTTGAGTTCAAGAGTTCAAAACCCGTTTGATCAAGAGTGAGACCCTATCTCTACTAAAAATAGAAAAACTAGCTGTGTATCATGGCAGGCACCTGTAGTCTCAGTTACTCAGGGGGCAGAAGCAAGAAGATCATTTAAGCCTAAGAGTTTGAGGTTGCTGTGAGCTGTGATGATGCCATGACACTCTACCCATAGAAACAGAGTGAGACTCTGGTTCAAAAAAAAAGGTAATAGCCAAGCTTGCCTGCTGTGTAGGTAGGATATACACAGGAATGTACATATACATACAGTAACATGTAACTAGCAAGTAAGCAAAAAGTAACAGGTAAGGTAGATTGGAACTAGAATGAGAAGGCTGAGAATGTGGCTAAGAATTATATTTTTAGTCTGGCAAGCAGTCAAGAGCTGTTCAGTTTAAGGGAATATTCAAGGGAATGGTGGCCCCAAGTATAGAATGTAAGACAAATAATCTGTATGTTCGCTGATGTGGCCACCGTCTGGACTCAGGAAACTTGGTAGGATGACCCTGGAAATGTGCCCAGTCCAGTTTCTTATACCTGGGCAGATTTCCTGGAGTCAATCTATTGTCTGCCTTGACCTAGGACACCAGCTAGGTCCTTCCGGTCATCCTTCCCATCCTTCCTCTGGTAAAGGAGGCCATGCCATTCCAACTCAGGTTGTTACTGGGCCTTGACCCCATCTCCCTTGCCCTGCTATTGCTTAGGCTGGGTCATTACAATTAGTAGGCGTTTAAGGAAGGGGAGGAGGAGAAAGGGATATGCCTGGGCCTATCCTAGCACCCGGCTGAGGAAGGAGACCAGGACTTGAAGGAAAGCTCTAAGGTGGGGAGATAGGCTGCAGGACCAGGTGTACCACACAGGCTTTGCCTTTGTAGCTTTCTTAGGGAGAGCTAGATATGTTCCAGGAGGTCCGGAGTGCCAGCTGGAGTTTCAGGGACACAGGGCAGGTCACTACTGCTGCTCCTTTTCGGCAACTGGAAGACAGCAAAAACTGCTACTGCTATCAGGTCCCCAGGCAGGGGCCAGCCCTGCTTTCAGATGAGCTTTGAGTAAATGGACCTTCTAAAAACCTAACAGTAGATACAACTCTCACAGGCCTCACATTCCACTTAAAATCCACCATGCACGATCAAGTCTCTCCCTTCTTGAGATTGTCTCCTGCTGTGCTCTTCCTGGCTCATCAAGCTCACCGTGGACACCCCAAGCTCGTCCCTACCTTTGGGACACTGAGCTTGGCATCCTCTTTTCCCAGAACGTTTTTGCCCTAAATCTTCACAGACTGACTTCTTGCCATTCAGTGCTCTGGCCAAATACCATCTGTTCAAAGATGCCCACCTCTTTACAAACCGACTCCATCCCATCCCTTATTTTATTTTATTTTTATCTCGTCTCATGGGTTTGTGTAAGTAAGCATGATTCTTGTTGACTTTTTGCCTGCCTCCTCTATCAGAATATAAAGAGACAGGGACTATGACCATTTGCCATTATGTTTCCAGAGTGCTGGCGCCCAGATGATGTTCAATGAATGAATGAAGACTAAACAGTTACAAAGGTGACTTGCCACACAGGAAAAGAGAAGCCATTTAGGACTGCATAATATGCTCATTAGGAGGCAGGTCCCCTAGACTGCCTGTCATCTGCTGTCCCTTTGGGGAGTTTTGTCAATGACTCTCTCCAGAAATTGGAAGGAGAAGAAAATGTAGAAGAGGAGAAACTTTGCCAGTGGCCTTGAAAGCTTTTACGAGGAAAGGGCTGATAGTAACTCAAGAGAAGTTCTTAATGTTTGAAGCCATTTTTGCTTCCCATATCCATTAATGAGTGGCTAATAATGTTTTATTTGCTTTAAAAGGACTACCAAGCTCTAATCATAGGGTTTTTTTCTTTTCCAGAAAGTGGATGTCAGTGCTGCTAATCAAAAGCCTTTGAATCAAGGTCATATGACTTCTAACAGATTATTTCCCGCGCAACATGTTTTTGTCTCATAGCAACAAATCGTATCATTAAAATCACTAAGGCATGTGGGCTAAGTGTTTGATTAGCTGTAACTTTCATTTCTGAAATGGCCACCTGTGGTAAAAAGTTAGACCAGTTTAGGTGAGCAGAAGAAAATGATCCACCTCATCAGTTTTAAAAACGGATGATATATTCCTCCACACTGTGCTTCCATTGTTTAAAACAAAGAAATATCGAATACCAGAAGAGCAATCACAAAGTAAGCATTCCCTCTTGGAAGGGGGATTTGACTAGTTTGGTCTGAAATTTGACTGGTTGTATGGAAAAGTTGCGGAATAAAAACTATGTTTATTAGGTAAATTAATATGTTTTCATTGCTCAAGTTTTAATCATTCTATTGTCTCAGTATGACCAAGGCTTGCTAGCTTAGTTGGGTACTAGAGCTATAATAATGGCTTTTATTGACCACTTGCTTATATGCTGAGTACTATTTAGCCTCCTTATTCGGGCTTCTAGAATAGGAGGAGAAAGGGATATGCCTTTCTATTTTCCTAAAGAAGTTTAACTCAGACTAAAATCCAGACTGTTTACTATGGCTCCTGCATCCTTTATCATCTGGCATGTTACTCTCTCCTGCTCACCCTGCTCCAGCCTGCTGGCTCACTTTGGTAACTTAATGACACCAAGCTCCTCACTTCCTTGACCTTCTCATTCTTTAAGTTTCAGCTCAAATGACCAGGCAAAGAGACATTCCCTGGCCACCTTGTCTTTAACTGTCTGTTCCAACACACGGTTATGTCCTACACAGAACGTATAATTTGTCATTTTGTTTGCTGATTTCTACTTCTTATCTATCTGTCCGGTAGACTGTGAACTCCATGAAGACAAGGACCATTTGTGTTCCAGGCACCGCTGTATACCCAGTGCTGAGCAGGTGACCTGGCAAATATTTGCTGAATAAATGGATAAATGTCCTGCCTCCTATCTTTTCCTCTCAATTAAAGATGGCCTTTCCACGGCTCAACATCACAAAGACTCTACTCATAACTGGGGATCACTCCTTTCCCAAGGAAGTAGAGAACAGATTTCTTTTTATTCATGCAACAAATATTTACTGAACCTCATCAGCTAGGCACTTGGTGAACAAAGACAAATAGGATACAGTTCTCTTGAGTAGCTCAATATAGATGGAGAGAAAGAGAGGAAATATGTGTGTCTGTGGGTGTCTGTTTTTAAACACAAACCCACACTAGTTAGTGTGTGAGAAGGGGAGGCATGTGAGTCGGCAGCCACCTACTTACGAATCCCTGCTCAAAAATAACTTCCCTGTGGACTTGTTGGCTGTGCCTACAATTCCATCAAGAGAGTTTTTTCTGTAGGAGATGGAAGGTGGGTGATGTGATAGACAAATGATGTGTTAGT